ACTATTGACAAAACGGTTAGATTGTAAATTTATATCGCAAACATGTTTTGCGAACATATTTAATTTAATAGTTATGAAAATTCGATGGAGATCCATTGAAAGTCAAACATACATATTAGATGTTTCTACTCGCCTCGACATTTCTCAATTCCTCAATATAATATGTTTACACCACTTTTTTGAATAGTTCAGTTAGCCGTAAGCGATTCATCGGACAAGATTGCTGGTTGTACGAGACAACACAGGAATAAATAATCCAATCAAAATTAACTTTCTCTGCGCGTTTGAACTGCACTCGAAGTGACTTTTTCACTCAATCCGTTATAGCGTAAACAGAATTGCGTAATAATCATTCCAAGGTATACTTGGCGCGACAGATATATGCTGCTATCTGCAAAACCGGTTTGGCTACTTTAGGATCACTCTCTGCCATATTATCTTCTAAGATCAGATACCTGCCAGCATCCAGGCTCAAAGCAGTAAACAATTCTGCATGTAACATGTACAGAAATTTCAAAAGTACGTTTATTTCGTGACTATTATTTGCAAAGTAACATCATCTAAAACGGTTGCTTAACTTAATTTTTTTTTCATATAGTTTTCAAATCTCAAGATGTCAAACGGAGTGTCGGCCGGACAACGAGCTCTTTAGTTGCTTGTATCGAGTCTGAGCTAGCAGCCATAGTCAAAGCTGGTACGTGGAAAAACGAGCGTATAATCGCCTCGCCTCAACGAACGAAGATCACACTATCAAATGGGAAGAAGGCGCTCAATTTCTGTGCCAATAATTACCTGGGCTTAGCAGTAAGACAAAGAACAACGAACCAATGTTGACTAGCAAATGCACAATGCGATATTTTTATTTAAAAAAACAACTGGAACGTAAAAGTATTTTTATGAAAATTAAATGACAGAATTTCTTCAACTATAGGATAACAGGGATGTTATTAACGCGGCAAAGATTGCGTTGGATAAGTACGGTGCGGGTTTGAGTTCTGTGAGATTTATATGCGGAACGCAAGAGATACATGTCGAATTGGAGAGGAAGATCGCCAAGTTCCATGGCAGAGAGGATACGATACTCTATGCGTCCTGCTTTGATGCAAACGCTGGTATTTTTGAAACTCTCTTAACCACCGACGACGCGGTGATAAGCGATGAGCTGAATCACGCGTCTATCATCGACGGGATACGATTGTGCAAGGCGAAAAAATACAGGTAGCTCTGATTCAGTCCTGTGATCTGTACGTCAAATCTTTCTGTTGATTCGACCTGCTGACCTGTTCTTTTCCTCATCGCAATGTCAAGGTACAAACACAGAGATATGGCGGATTTGGAGAGTAAACTCCAGGAGAGCAAATCTGCACGTTTGCGTCTGATCGCAACCGATGGAGTATTTTCCATGGATGGTACCGTTGCACCATTATCGAAGATAATCGAGCTTGCCAGGAAGTACGACGCTATCACGTTCGTAGACGATTGCCACGCTACTGGATTCTTCGGTAAAACCGGCAGGTACGTCTGCAAAATCTCGCAGACATCCGTTGATATTGTTCTTCGATCTGATTTCACGCAGTTTTATTTCGTTCCAGAGGTACAGAAGAGTATTTCGATCACCTGGGAGACATTGACATCATTAACTCCACGTTAGGAAAGGCTCTTGGAGGAGCGGCGGGTGGTTACACGACCGGCAAGAAAGAAGTTGTAAGTCTGTTGAGACAAAGAGGCAGACCGTATCTGTTTTCGAATTCGATACCTCCGCCTGTTGTTGCATCAGCAATTAAGGTAAAGTATTACATCGTTATTATACGTGACTAGTCAACGTCCCTGCGAACAGTGCACATTGTTTTAAAACAGGAGATAAAAGAAAAGTTATATTAAACTCGTTGTGCTGTTTGAAAATGTAATTCTAATTCAAGTTACTTTAAATATTATTAGGTGATGGATCTTATAACAGACAGCACGAAGTTTTTGGATCGCTTGGCAGGCAACACCGAGCATTTCAGAAGTGCGATGACCACGGCTGGCTTCACTATCAGTGGCGATAACCATCCTATCTGTCCTGTTATGCTAGGTGACGCAAAATTAGCAACAACATTTGCAGATAAAATGATGGGTACATATATATTTTCATATAAATTATAAAATCTTTAAAGAAACAAACTATCAATGGCGAAAAGTATACATCTACCATGTTGCGTCATCAGTTTTACGACTTGCCGTATTGTACGAGGATGTTTTCTTACAGAAAAAGGAATTTACGTCATTGGATTCAGTTATCCGGTGGTACCGAAAGATAAGGCAAGAATACGTGTTCAGATTAGTGCGGCACACTCGGCCGAGGATATAGATTGTGCCGTTGATGCTTTCACACAAATTGGAAAAGAACTTGCCGTGATTTAATAAATACATTTTCTGGCAAAGAGAAATTTATCTGTCTTAAATATGCACACTCTGTTTCATTTATAATAAATAAATAAATCGCAACTGTTAACTATATGTTAAAGCTGATTTGCATTATATAAATTAAATATTGCAAGTATGTGGTGCATGCGAATGTAACATTGAATTTATTAACACGTGCAGTAACAAATATCTTAATCGAGCTATATTAAAAGTGTTCTTTCCTTCCCTTTTATACAAATTTTCAACGCGCGAGGTTGTAAGTGTATAAAACCTTGAATTACATGTATAGTGTTATATTGTTATTAAACATTTATTACATGGATGCTAAGGTTTGTACGGTTTAACGAGATTTTCCGAAAATTCCCTGACCTGTGGCACTCCACGCACTTCTCTTTCTAGCAACGGAAGCTGTGTGACGTGAAACTCCTCGTAAAGATCCATTATCTTAAAAAGAAAAAAGAAATATTTATCTCAACAATTTCTGATTCGCATTTTAACAGAGTAACAAATATGTATGAAATATTATTATTCTCCAAGAATTATTCATCTCTGAAAGAATTTCAAGAAACAAATTACGTAATATCAGCTACAAGCGCAGTGTTAATTACCTGATCTAGATATTTATCTTGAATTTTATGCCTTGCAAGACACAGCCGGCAGGGAGTATCCCCCTCTTTCAAAAATAACAGTTGGTTCACTATAATATTGTGGGTATCGATACCGTATTTTGTTAATTCTTGTACAAGTCGCTCCGTCTCGTAAAGCGACAAGAATTCCGCTATGCAGACGCATATAAACGTCGTCTGATCGGGATTTCTGAACTGCTCGTTAACTTGTCGAATGACAGCGAGCATTTCCTCCATCTTATTAGAGAACGTATCCACATTGAAGTCCGTCAATCCCAATAACGAACTTATCTACAATAGTAAAATCTTTTTTCAATTTAAGTATTTCGGGGGAGGACACTCGGTACACCCGACGAGAAGCAATTTTAAGCGATAATAGCATGGATCAATTCTAACTTGTGTGATAAAGGGACTAATCTTCATTTTTAAACGCATCAATTTTCCCAATCCTTTTTCAACCACTTGCGGGAACGACAGTAGCCTCAATGTGTGCCCAGTGGGTGCCGTATCAAACACCACAACAGAGAAGTTCATTCCTTTTACGAGCCTAGAACCAGCGTGTAAAGTTATCAAGGTAACAAGAAAGAGGTAGATAATAGTAGCTTTCAGGTGAATTTACAGTTTCAGTTGACTAGAAGGCAAGACTCTCGTTGGTGTTTCACAGAAATAAGAAACATAAAAATTGCAAATTTACTCACTTCATAACTTCTGCATAGCTCATTGCCTCGTCTATGCCAGGAAATGCACCGACAATTTCTTGCATAACATTTTTGCTTAATCTCATCGCTTCTCCTCCTGAAACTGTACACGATACGTCTAATATGTTTAATGTAATAAAAGATTTGTTTAAACTGACCTTACATACAATTTTATTTCTTTTACTTCAAGCATGTAATAATTACTGCAATAGTTACTACAAGTATTCTTTTATTTATGTGTTTCTTGCATTAATCCTTAGCGAAAATTGCTTGTGTGAAACAAGGTAAACCGCTGAGGACATCGTGGTGTACAAATTTGCAGCATTACTGGTCATTAGGCCTTGCTGGTGCATTATAAAGATAAAATAAAGTGAAACAAGATAAATAAGATAAAGTAATGCCTACTGGGCATTAGTAGGCATTGGTGTACGTGATTTTGGTCAGCGATTCACCCCTGGGTCTGAAGTTACTTATACCACGTTGGGTGAAGGTATCTCAAAAGCAAACCTGCTTCGCTGTCAAAGTATTCCTCTGGCAACTCTGTAATACCAACGTTAGGATCGATCTCCATTGCAAACAAATTGTCGAAGCCCTTCACCTTGGTGGGCACTTTGCTAAACTTCTGATCAAATGCATCGGAGATGTTGTGCGCTGGATCTGTGGATATGATAAGTACGCTCTCCCTTACTTTGGACAGCTGTACTGCCAAGGAGCAGCTGCAAGACAAAGATTTCGATTAGTCTTAACCTTTTCAATCTGCAGCGAATCAGAATATGCAAGAACATTGTTTTATCTCAAGAGAGGACTCTTAAATAACAAAAAGCGCAAAGTTGAGGAAAAATCAATCTCGCTCAGTTTTCAGTTTTTATGCCAAAATAGTTATTTCTGTACATAAATGATTACAAATCATATATACGCAATAATGTGACGATGACTTTACTAAGTGTAATGACACGACAGAAAATTAAGTAAAGCGGTGAAAATGGACGCGATTGCACGTCCATTCACTGTTACGTTCATCGGAAGGCGAGGCCGCGGCGGACATGCGGTTTGCCTGCGAGCTCGTGTACTTGTCAAGCGGAATCTTTATTGACTCCTGCCACCGGGACGGGATTGACAGGACGGCGATTTCCAGGTTATGTGTACCTGCAGGTTGTCTTCCCGACTCCACCTTTGCCGCCCACGAATACCCATCGTAAGGAACGTTGCTCGATCACGTTCCTGATGGAGGGCTCGTACTCGTCCATCGTCTCGTTCTCGGTGGTGTTCATGTCTGTCGACGATAGTGACGGCGTAACACCGGGGTAAATCTAGTGCATAACTCTTGATAATCGTCGCGTCAGCGTGTGCATCGGGCGAAATCGAAATGGAAAAAGCGCGCACGGGGGTCTCGGACTAAAGCCTCGCGCATAACGTGGCGCATCATGCCCAAGATCTGCTCGTCACATTTACACCTTCTGCACTTGATATATTTCTTGTTTTTTTCCCCCCATCTATCTCTCTCACACGCCCACGCACACACGCACACGACATGCACGCATCTCTATTGTATTTTATGTGTGCCTACCAAGTTTTTTAAATCCGTGGGTGTGCATTTTACATACATAGGTGATATAGGTATTGCATTTTCGAAATCAGCAAGACGACTTTTCCAAACGCAATTTTCTATAATAACTCTTTATTAAAAGTTACATACAACATGTTGTCTTAACTAAATGTCCCAGGATAAAATGCCTCTTACAAGACAACCCAGATAGTACACTGATTCGATTCACAAAGTATTCTTTAAGTTTTCTTTTTTCTGAATTGTAATACTTTAGGAATTCATAGAAGAATACAATAAGAGTGACAGAGGTTAAGTTACATGCACCATAAATCGTTTTTCTGACAACTTCTTAAAGTATTCATCTCGAATTCAATAAATGTAAACTTTATATGAATTGAAGGGGAATAGTGTTAGAACAAAGAGGATTACAAAATATTTACCCAATGTATGTACACATCTAATATGCAGTAACATTACACCATTATTATAATTTCTCACCAACAGTGAGATACTCTCAAACGAAGCTCGTTGACAATCGGATATGATTTTTCCGTTTCGGTTCTCGTCGTTCGATTCTTTCTTTTACACAATAGAACTATTGCACAAAATTAATTGCACATAACGTTACGCACACAAAATATTGCACGTGGTAACACGCTGCACAAGAACGTCCGGATGGCGGTTAGCGGATACTCGCGCATGACAAATAATTCCTCAATAATTCTTAAAGTATTCACAGTACTGAATCGCGAAGTATTCATTATATT